CCCCCCCCCCCCAGCTCGCTGTTATGGAGGAGCCTCTTCATCCTCCATTGATCCTCAGGTGCGCTCGAGCGCAGCCCTCCAGCTGTTCCCGCTACCCCGGCACCCCCCGGCATTGGGCATCTGCCTTTCCCGTTAATTCACTCAAAGGTCATTCAGCAGGGGGCGCCATCCTCCCTGATTTACATTTGTTCTTTCCTTCGCCGAACCATCCTCAGTGATGGTGAACAGTGTGTATCTCGAACCACATGCCTTCCAGTTCACTCCTTGCTAAATCCAAGCACGACGCCCTTCAAGAAACTGTAATACATGCATCTACATTATCCTTTTTCGTGGCTCTTCAGTATCTTCATCAGTATCTTCATCCATCACCTCGTCTTACAGTACTCTTACAGTACTCTTACAGTACTCTCTGGCCAGTCTTAGGAGTAAGCCAGATATTTACAGATCTTGGCTGCTGTCCAATAGTCCCAATCATGTATAAAATTTATCCTTTGTTGATTTTCTCATCATTAATGAATATTCATGCAGGAAGTACATTCTAATCGCCAGACTCAACTTCGGAAGATGATTTTAAGATAAGATAAATTCAGCCAGAGAGTGGGAGTGACTGCAAGATTTATGCGACCATTGTGTACTCACCAGATAAGATTTAATACTGTGTCCGGTCTTTACCTTTCTTCTGTGTATATCATATCTGGACTCTCAGGACAGTCATCATTATCTACCTCGGAAAATAGTAATAGGAGCTCAAATAAAACCAAAGATTAGACATTTGTTCGGAAACCTCAGATATTTTGCTTGCAACCTCCAGCCAAGTGACAGACATAGGTGAACGATGTTCTGTGTAGTTATAAAATATTCCTTTCCATCTGTTTATTTCTTAGACTGTTTTTTTTCTCTCTCAGATCCTTATATAGCTTTGGTGTTTGGTTTTTGAGAGCAGCATAGCGAGCTGGTCTTAGTTATTGCTTTTTTTGAGTAACTGCATGAACGTGACCATTTCTTGCACGGGGGGAGTGTACGGCTTCGCTTTTAGCTCACTTACAAGAATGGAACAAAAAATGGCAACGTCGTCTGTTTTCATTCATGCAGCATCCAGCGTAGCGGCTAATCATGTCAAAAACTGAAGCGGCCACTATGGTTTGACCTGGTAACATCTCCAAAATGCAGTCTGATGTAAAGTTTTTATGTTTGTGGTTTGAAAACGATTAAATCGGGATTAAACAATTAATTGGGAATAGACATAATGCATAAACCTAGATAATATACCCAGCAACAGATACAGAAAATGGCTCCTACAACCAGTATCAGGCTAATGGGCATAATGCAAGATTTTCAAAAGTTTAAAGTGTCTTTATTTTGGCTTCTAAAAAAATGTCTTGTGAAACGGTGACCAGTCCCCTATGGTATATTTTGCATTATAAATAAGAATGTATTAACATAGCCATCTTTTAAGAGGGTTAACTATCTCTGCATAAGCATTAAGTATTAATTATGTTTACTTACACTAAAGTGTGTTTCTTGCAGGTTTTTTTCCCCTTAAGTAATGTGCCGCTCATGTTGTACAAATTATAAATAAAATACTGAAATATTTATACAAGTGAATACTTGGTGTTTTCTCACCATACCGACTATTTTCTATAGCAGTGGTTAGGAGCCCAGTCCTGAGGTAGCTGCTGCTCTTCAGAACAAACAGCTGAGATTTTTTGTGAGTCACTGCGAATAGCAAATGGAACAGATGTGACTGGTCATCCCATCAACCTCTCTCTTTCTGATTGTTCTGCTTGGAAAGGAAGCGCTCCAGGTTCTCACCTTGCAAATTTGCGCGCTTACCAAGCTAAAATATTTCCAGCCTAATAATCTGTTAGTTATTCTACTTAATGAGCTTCATTCGCAGGATATACAGTAGTAATTGTGGGCTGATTTAAATGCCATAAGTGTCCCAGCTTCTGGTTGTGTAAATCCTTAAAGGAGGACATGCAAATAAGTAGTTATTGGTGAAGCCTTTGTGGCCCGTTCTGGTATTTCGGGAAAAATGCAGAATGTGTTTGCTTTGAACGTCAGACTGCTAACCTGCTGGAACCCAGAGGTGACCTACCTGCCAAATTAGTCATATGTCACAGCGGAGACCTGCTCTCCAGGGGGATGACCATGTTTTATTTATAATATCTTCAGTTCCAGACGTTCTAGGATAATACGGGCATTGTAGTTTGATTATGTTGAGTTGTTTCTGTTATGTTTTATTATGTTTCAGTTGTG